GGGAAATTAACGTTCATGTGCCTTGCGTACACATGTGGATGCTTCGCTGCTGCTACGTCAGTGCTTAGGGGTTGGGTGGGGTGGGCTGGGATATTAACGTTCATGTGCCTTGCGTACACACGTGGATGCTTCGCTGCTGTTACGTCAGCGGTTAGGGGTTGGGTGGGGTGTTTTTTTTTTTATCGTCGATGTGCCTTGCGTACACACGCTGCTGCTACGTCATTGGTTGGGGTTTGGGTGGGGTTGCTTTTACCTTGTTTGAAACATGCGAATAAACATGTATATTATTTATATATATATATATATATGATATTATTTTCTTTGTCACACGCGGTTACAACCCTTAGATGTGAATATTACGTGTCTCAGATTCACAATACGTTGAGATGTACATTGCTCCTGCACACCGGTGGCATCGATGGTATGTGGAAATTGTCCAAAGGTGCAGTGCCAACCTCTTGGAGCACACGTAAAGATGGTGCTGTGAACCCTCAGTTGCTTCAAGGAATTGGGATTTGGCAACGGCGATGGCACCATGGAAATTGCACAGACTTTCTCAGTCTCACCGGCCACGCTCTGAGCAAACGCTTGGAGAATAAGACGCCCAAAGAAAAGGGAAACAGCGACCACCCCGCCGGCAGCACAAAACCCTGTAAATACCACGACATTCCTTCAAAGTCATCGAATTTTCCCCGGGAAAATTTAAGGTAATGTTCATCATAAAATGTGCATGTCGCCACAGCGCCAGAAGAGTTTGTTTTCAAAAAGTGCTTAACCGCTAGCGCGGTTTCCCACCCGCCGGGATGTATATGTAATTATACACACATATATGTATATAGACATATATATATATATATACGTATTATGTTCAGTATACCGTGACTTTTACTGCTAGGGAGATAAATTGCATAGACAATGAGCCACCAGTAGGACTTGCCGCGGCCCATGCCTTGTGGTAGGGCCACACTCAGAGATAATCATACGGTCGCCATCCTCATCCACAGCCTGCAAGTGGAGCAAGTGATCAAATGTGTTTGTTATCATATACTGTATGATAATGATATCAGTTAACCCTGTGGTTATTATGTGATATGTGATATATGATGATATGATGCTTAGTTTTTTCTTTTCACAGGGTTTTCACCATGGGTAACCTACTAATGTGTTCTTTTTAAATAGTAATTGTGGACGAATGACTACGCCAGCGGCCACCATCTACGGGTAAAGCTCTTAGGTCGGACCCCAGAACTGACCGGAACTGCGCCCTGTTCTCCGGAGCCTGAGGCATCCTCCGTTGAAGTTCCAAGTTTTTGGGTACTCATATGTCCTGAATAGCAAATAATATCAAATAATACTCATATCAATCAGAATATGCATATATATATATATATATTGTATCTCATTTCACGCAGCCCAAATTCCCTGGATTTTCAGGTGATATCCATCTTGGTCGGCCTCCTGGATCACGTTGGCCCAACTCGTGGCGCCAGAGGCATGGAACTGCGCCGGAGATCAGCGGCCAAGAATGGTCTAACCATAATATGGTATATAGTAACATACTTGACCATATTACCCATACATTCCCATATGATATTACCCATATTACCATATTTAACATATGATACTATGGTAATATTGTGGTATATATTTGGGTAAAACAAAATCTGGGTAATATTATTATATATTGTTTACCATATACCATCTTACCAAGAATGGGCATAGTTAATTTGGTAATATGCAAATTATTGGTAGTATGGTAATATTATGGAAATAATATTTGACATTTGACATATGACAGTTACAATTAACTAATGGACATGACTTATCTAATAGTTCTTAGAAGTTATTAGTTATCCTGATATGTAATACTTAATGGATAGGTAACGGATATATTAAAAATGACGTATAACAGGTAACTTGTATTTTTAAGACTTATAGTATCATGGAAAATTCATGGATAGTACAACTAGTGGATAATATACATCGTGATAATATACATCGCGATAATTAGTGAATAGTGTAAAGCATCTATCATTATCTATCCACTAACTATCATCTAGTATACGGGTAAAATATATAGTGGTATATATATATATATATATATATGGACAGTACACGACAGTACAATTTGTGTACACAATAATTAGTGGATATTAATTCATGATGATTCGAGCGCATCAATAGATGGAAACTGGGATGATTAGTGGATGATCAATGGATAATTAATGGATAACTAATGTGAATATTCGTGGATAGTTGTTGCTTTACCCTCTGGTAATCAAAAATGACCTGGTTGGTGGTTTTAACCCCTCTGAAAAATATTAGTCAATTGGGATCATTATTCCCAGTATATGGAAAAATAAAAGCCATATTCCAAACCACCAACCTGTGACAATTGGACATACCTTTGAAATGAAGGGTTTTAATGAGAAACTCAACTATACATGGGGGATTGTCCAGAAAGTAATGCCACCGGCAGCTGAGGAAATTGGTCAAAATTCTGAACTGTTCCCGGGAAACTGCTGGGTGAAGGGGGATTCCCACTTCATGGACTAAATCATATGGGGGTTTCCATCAATGGGGGTACACCTAGTTATCATCCGTTTTCGTTTGGGATTTTCCATTGCAAACCAACCGTTTTGGGTATCCCCCATGTATGGAAACCCACATATGCCCATTCAAGGGGAAACTGATTTTCTCAACAATTGAAACTCCATCTTTTGTTTGGGATTTTCAATTATAAGCCATCCAGCTATTGTGGTACCATTGATGGAAACCCCCATGTGATCATGAGAAAATGGCCATGGCCAATGTATAAAGGGTATATATATAGTATAATCACCAGTCGAATACTGCTCAATTGACAAGAAGAACATGAGCATTCAAAGTAGTTTGTCACATCAGGACATCAGGCAGAAACTGATTGGGAAACAAGTGGGAAATGTTAGGACATGGTCGACATGGTTCGCCGCTGAAGGCCAGCCATGGCCCATGGCGATGGATATCGGTCCTAGAAAAAGGTCCTGTTGAGAGAGCCAACCATGAGGGTCATCAGATCGTCAGGTGATGTTCACCTTAAATATATGGGACTGTTGTCAATGAATCAACCCATATCAACCCCAGGTGATTCCAATAGTCCTCTTGAACCCTTGTACTATGGATCTGGGAGATCTTGGTCATGGAAATGGACGTGAAACGGGGGTTCCATGTTAAACCTGGCTGCAACTCTTTCCTGATCCCTTCCTGGTTGGCTTGAAGCAGTCCATCCGCACCTCTCTTCTCAGGACGGGACCGGAAGGGCCCCTCTCGCGTCTTGGAGCCACATGGGCAGACAAAATGCCTCAGGAGCATCCAAGATCTTGGTTTCTGCTATCGATAGCTATAGTACCCAAAAAAATACTAAAAAATAGATATGGTTGATAAATACATATAATACATGAAGACTTTGACTTGATTTATGCAGTCCGATGCCACGATTTTGAGTTGGACCCAGGTCTAGTCACATGATTTCACGCTTGACAATCGTTGGATGTGGTATGACATGATGACATGATGCGGTGCTAAATTGAGTTGGTGGAACGCAGGTGGAACACATGGATCAAAGGCTCTCTGAAAATCAATACCATAGTAGAGATCCGTACGTCGCTTGACCGAACAAATGTTACCTTTCAGTTTGGTCATTGTAGTAGTCCACTATTGGCTTTTCACTATCCTCGAAACTGTTTTTTAAAACAACAGTAGACTTTGCTTTGACAAGAAAAACTGCTATGCTTCCAGCAAGTGTGCGACCCCAAGGCCCCAGCTGTGGAAGCATATGACCTGACATAGCACAAGGGGCCGCCATCTGCAGGCCATGGGGTCATCAGCTGTTGCCGTTGTTCACAAGTTCGCAGCTGCTTCCAAGCTGTCCAAACAAACAAACAAATGCGAAGTATGCAACATCAAAAATAGAAACGAAAACACTGAAGTACAATAAAGCTCCGTATCCCTGTCCTTTTAGGATTCCGGAGGTCACTTGACCCCTATTTTTGCTTGCCCTGGAACTGTCCGGGAAAAGCCGCCCCCCATCTTGAGCCAAGTTCGGACGGGTGGTCAAGTTCGACATGGCAGCAGCCGGGGAATGACACCACTTTATGAGGATGCCCATTGTGTTGCTACCATTGAAAGCCTGGTGCATCATCATGCAAAGTATAAGCACAACATCTTGTTTTCGGGGAAACATTGTCCGACTGATGTCCTGGAGTTTTTTGGGACCCCAAACTGGGATGGATCCTTGGTAAACCAATGACAAACCATCCTCCAGAAAATAACGATTTAAGGGATTGTATTATATCATCGGATAGTTATGGATTGTTCAT